ATTGTTTTGTTCAAGTTATTTTTCACTCCGTAACGCAATCGAGTTATTGGAAAAAAAAACAAAAAACTAGCCTGTTATTTAAACGAGGATTTACTTCCTCTTTGTAAAAGAGTATTTTTAAAAACAAAAAAATAGTATTCTCTAAAGTAAATTCTTTTGAAAAGAAGTCAAAAGATTTTTCCTATAATAATAACGACAACGAAAAGTTAAAATGCAAATTATTCATGTCAAATATGTGTTAATGTGTTAAGATGCAAATTAAGTTACCTATGTTTATTATCAAACAACCTTTAATTAATATATTATATTCCCTGAATTTCTCAATACTATTCAAAACGTCATTAGAAACTCAAATCCACGTGTGAAATGGAAAAAAAAATTATTATCGAAAACAAGATGTTAAAATTAAAAATCTAATTAGTGGAACTGGAATTAGACTTTAATTAAAATAAATGTAGTAAAAGTTGCCCAATACTTTTTTCTAAAATTTACGTATCAAACGATGAAACCGATCAAAATAGTAATTTTAATTGTTTACACTTTACATTTTAAAAAATCTGAATTTTTCACTAAAAAAATATCCAAAATTAATGGTAATTTTAAATTATTTTTTAATTTTTTCAAAGCCGGGAAAACAAAAATTTTATTTATAAACAAGGCTCGAAGGGAAAAGATTTTTTTTTTACCGTACACGTAATTTTTATTTAATTAAATTAATTAGATTAATAAAATGAATGAAATTAATAGAATTCATAATTATGTAATACCAATAAACAAAATCTCACCCGAGATGGAAGTAATCCACAAAATTTCAAGTTCTTAGTGTAGAAAAAAAAATAGAAAACTACCGAATATTTTAAAAATTTGTCATGACAAACATTTACTATTTATAGAAAAGAAAAATACTTGCTAAATAAATTGTTAAAAAAATTAATAATTTTCAAAGTGTAATGATTATACTGAATCGTCTTAGGCAAGCTTATAGAAACTATAGACGTTTCATGTTTCACGATCACTCGCACGTGTATAACTGATAATATCCAGCAATTTTCATATACTTTTAAAACTAACTAACTAACCGGATGCGCTGATGATACTCGAGTCATAGTCGCCGGCCGACTAAATCTGTGTGAATCGTGATTTGAACTTGACCACTTTAGAACGGTTTATTCATGCACGAGTAAAAGAGAAGGGGTTTCGATTACAGTAATCACTAAAGGATTCGCAAACGACGAGAGAAAGAGAGAATAGATGCTGATTATAACCTTCAATTATTATTTAACACATTGGGTGGGCTAATTAGAATAAAAAACTCATCTAATCATTCTAATCCTCATTAAAGTTGATCAATCGAGAATAGATGTGAATCATTTGTATTCGGATCGATGCTTTAATCGTAATTCCAATGTTAATAATACGCAGGGAATTTTTCACGAACAAAAAGTGAAAAACCTGAAAGAAAAATTATCTTTTAATTACGATTCTTTTAAATATTATTTAAGAAAATGTAAAACTATGTATACACTCACCTGTTCATTCCAATTCATCGAATCCTCCTTTTTCTAAACTTTCCAAAATTTCCAAAAACGTATCAAAATAATAATTTCTCATTTGACGAGAAGCCAAACTTCTGAATATCTGAAAACTAAAATCTCGCCAAAAATAAAATAGATATGAACAAATATTAATAACTACGAAGAAAATATAACAAAATGTCCCTATTGTATATACAAAATTGTTAAAAAGAAACAAAATCAAAATTACGAAAAAAAATTCAATTAGAAATCGATCAATTGGGACATTTTGTTACGTTTATTAACTAAGTTATTAATATTCAACGAAACATTTATCTAAAAATTAATTATTTAATAAAATCGAAAATTGATAAATATTGAATTGAAAATAAATAAGTACTGATAAATTTACTCCTCGTTTTACTCCTTCCAGTAGACGAAAAAAAAGTAATTTTTTTAAACGGACCAGGAAGAGAAATATACAAAAATGGAAAAATTATCTTCTAATTTATTTTATTATCGAAAAAATATTAAGTACACGAGACAGATCATATAAATAATTACTGTTAATATTATGATCCAAGGCAAGATGTAAGGCACAATCATTGCTCTAAAGTTAAAAATTATTTCTACTATTTACAAAAAAGAAAAAAAAATCCACTTTCTCATCATTCACAATAAAAATCTTTAAATCACTTTGAACTTACGGTTGCAGACAGCGTAATTCGAAAATTCTTTTATAAAAAATTTAATTAAAAATATATACTGGAGTATTTATTTATTTATATTGCAACCGTGTTGTCCTACAAAGAGGGGAAGAACGTTATAATTAATAATTAATTTCATTAATTTTATAAGTACTTATTTACAATTTTCACAAATTTCAAAAATTTGTCTAATAGATTAAAAATTTTGTTTCTTCAAAAAAACGTACCTCTCTTTTTTCGTTTATATAAACATTCATCAAAAATTTTCTTTCATATATTCTTTCTCTCTTGTCTCGATTCACTTTTTCTCATATATCACTCACACACGAAAAAAATTCGATTCTCACTGTTTTTTGTTTCTTTTCAACTTTTAATTAAATATTACTGTCTAGTTTATTTTTCTCTTTATCATTTAATATATGAAATAAATTCTAAATAATTACTGTACGCGGGTCAGTTCTACGAGATCCTATAAAAGTAATTAATAGTCTCTTTCTTGCAAGAAAAAAAAAGAACACAATACTGTTAGCATAAGTGGCTGGATCTCTGCTTCTATAGTTATAATAAGCGTTTTTATATAAAAGTCAATGAAAAAAAATGGTTGAAATTTTTTACGTTAGGCAGAATATTGTTAACTATTATAAGAAACAAATATTATCTAATTTATTGTTCGTTAGGGCGTATTTATATATATATATATATATATATATATATATATATATATATATATATATATATATTTAATTATTGCTCGTTAAGGTTGCAGAGTAATTTTCTCATATCTAAAAATAATTTCATGATTCGTATTTCCAGTCTTTTTTTTACGTAACTAGAACTTCAATTATGTACAAAAGAAAACAAAAAAAAAAAAAAAGTGAAAAAAAGAAACTCTAAACAACCGTTATGATTCAGAATTAAATAAAAAGCTGCCTGCATGACGTGTAAGTTTACATTCGATTTTATATAATAATAAAAAATTGATATTGCGATTTTTTGTAATTGAATTTTTTTTCATAAAAATTGAAATCTTTTAAATTAGAACTTAGAAGCAAATGAAAATTCAATTTTCCATACAATTGTTTTAAATTAAAATGTTCGATTTTGAATTTCTGAAATTCAAAATTTTTTTCCGAATTAATTAATAATAATTTAATCAAATTCATAAATTTTTTTACAAATTAAATACTGACAAAAAATTTTTCAAAGCAGTTCAGAGAAAAATATTTGTCAATCAAGGCACTTTGTTCATTTAAAGAGTGAGTCTCATTAAAATTCCGTTTAAACGATTAATGACGCGATTTCGAGTTCAACTTTTAAGGATTAAAAACGCAATATCTTTTTATTGAGCTACGAAGGAATCTTCGCTTATATATACTATATACGTAATATATAAATATATTTTTATATATTTATTGCAATGGAAATTCAAAGAAAAAAAAATTTCAAAATCACTGTAAATATTGTAAAAATTCCCCTAAAAATATTTTCTCTAAAGTATAAAAATACTTTTCAATTGCGAGTCTCAAAATAATTTCATGATGAGTAAATGTGACTCTGAATAATTCTTTGAATTCCCATTCTAAAAGTCTTAAAACATTGTTTCATAAGCTTGTGAGAGTACCGAAGATATTTTTAAAAAATTCTTCTCAACATTAAAATCACGAGCATGATTATTTAAAGAAAAACCGTTACATTCAATTAATTATTAATTAAGTATTAAAATGTTAATTTTAAATTTAGTTTTACATTTCGATACTGTTTTTATTTTATTATTAATTATCATCAGGGTTGCCACAAATATTTAATTTTATTTTTCCCTGACTTTTCCCTGATTTCCAGACAAAATTTTCACTTTTTCCCTGACCATAAAGAATATTCTGATTCACTCTAAAAACATTCTATTACATTTACTTACGAATTTCTTAAATTGTAAAATTATTCGCAAACATCAATAACTAAATTTTTAAATAAGTATTTAATTATTATTTTTCCATAGGAATTAAAATTCTTCAAAACATTCAAATTCAAACATTTTTAAAATTAAACAACTTATAAGAATATTATTATAAAACATGAAGATGACTCGGAGTGATTGATATCTTCATGATTTATAATTAATAATTAATAATTCTCTTAATTTTTTTGTAAGAATGCTTTTAACATTCAATTATTATCTAAAATTTTAACTAATATTCATTTTCAAATCAATTTTTATTGGAAAATTTCACAAGAATTCAATTATTTAAAATACAAAAATAAATAATTCATTGAATAAATAAATGTTTGAATAAATTTTATTATTCATGAAAATAATTGAATTTTTTTAAAAAAATGTTATTATTTATGAAAATAATTGAATTATTTCGAAGCTTGCTTATAATTTTATCAAAACTTTTTTTTTAAATAATTGAATTCTTTTGAAAAATTTTATTAAAACTGTAGATATTGAAAAACATTGAATTGAAAAAATTTTTTGAAAATAATAGAAATTTTGCAAAGAATTTTATTAAAATTTTTTGAAAATAATTGAAATTTGGAGAAGAATTTTATTAAAATTTTTTGAAAATAATTGAAATTTGGAGAAGAATTTTATTATTTTTAAAGATAATTGAATTTTTTAAAATTTTTAAACATAGTTGAATTTCTGTGAAGAATTTAATTACTTTTGAAAATAATTGAATTTCTGCAATCATTTGTAACTTTTTCAAAATTCAATTTTTTCCAGTTACTTAAATAAAAATTCCTGACTTTCCCCTGACCAATTTTAGTTTCCCTGACTTTTCCCTGATTTCCCTGACCTGTGGCAACCCTGATTCATTTCTTAGTTATTAATTAAAAATATATATTTTGATAATTAATTGATTGAATAATTTATATTAACAAAAATGTGATATTAATAAAGTTTTGGCATTAATAAAGAAATGGCGTTAATAAAGAAGTGACATTAATAAAAACGTGGCATTAATAAAAATGTGGATAATTTTAATTAATATAATATTAACCAATAATTAATATTACACTCAATAATATTAAAATGATTAAAAAAAGTCATTCAACGTTTAAAATCGTTTTCAAAACAAGTCTGAAAAACTCAATGAAATTAAAATCATTCAAAACGATTCTTCTTCATTTCTAATCGATAAAAAGATCAACAAAAAAATCGAGAAACAATAAAAATCACTTTAAAAAGAAAACAAGTTAAATAATCAACGGTACAAAAATACAAATAAATTCACCTCGCGTATAATTTTCTTCCGTTAAAAGAAAAAACGAAATTAGTATTTACGACACAAATTTCAAGCTAACGCACTTTGTTTTGTGAAAAAAATTTCCTTGTGACGATTTTAAATCGTCACGATACAATTGAATTGTCAAAAAAAGCAGATAGTTTCTCGGTAATCCCACAAGCGTCAACAATAGACGGACGTAATTTTTATCAGTTCACTGAAGAGTATATATATATAAGAAAAAAAGAAATCTATACATCTCAGTTCGTAGGCCGTAAAATTCTCGTATTGCAAAAAAGGCAATAAAACGAGAAATTCTATTTTAAAAAAAAATCTTAATCTTAAAAAAACCTTTTTTCCTCTGAATCTCGTTGACGTTGTTCATCGAATAAATAAAGTAGTGGATGGGATGATGACGAAGATGATGATGATGATGATGATGACGTTGATGATGAAGATGATGATGATCACGATTCACAGATGTTGATCAAGTGGCACTGGAGGTCCGTGATGAAGGGCTGATTCCTTGAGCATCGAGTTGACGGTTGACCCGGTTGTCGTTTCCACATTGTGATGGAGGTTGCTGTTGTTGTTCTGCCCGTTTAGAAACGAGGCCATTTCCATTGATGACTGATGACCGCTCTGTTTAGAAACATGCGTGTTCGTTCGCTTCTTTCAGATCTAGAGCGTGTGTGGGTAACGTACGTATGTGGTGTTCGGAAAAAAACAAAAGAAAAGCGGCTCCAGAGAGAGTGCACAGAGAGGCGGAGGCAGAGGCATTTTTTTTTTTTTTTTTGGATATATAAATATAGAAGAGGCAATAATATTAAAACAAGAGGCGGAACCCCTTAGCTAATGCAACGGATGTCTTTTTTTAAACCGTGGCGTTAACGTGGGGCAAACTCTTGGAGAAATTGACAAATGACGGCCGTTGAGAATGATTGGATTTCTTGTTGAAGAATTATTTCCCAATGTTAATATTGAGCGAGCCGCCGTCTTGTCAAGTCTTTCTCCAGGTAATTGAAAGCATCGATTGCAAGATTCGCGCGTACTGACCTTGGGCTGATGCGCATCGTCAACTGGATCGAGACCGGCCAATGGATTTGATGTTATGTTTATCTTCGAGTCCGTTATTCCTCCATTCAACACTCGTCCATTCGTTATTGGTTTCGCTATAAAAACAAAATTCATCGTTATTTTTTTAACAAAACAAGAAATAAATAAATCAGAAATAAAAATAAAAGCTCTATTTTTTTTTTTTTTTTTTGAAAGAAATGAAAGTGGAAGTTCTGCATCCCCAAAAGGTCTTCCTCCTTTCATCTCTTTTTCAAACCTGAAAATAAAAATTAAATTATAAAAATAAATTATCAATATAAAACTTTACAAAAATACTAAAAAATATTCAATTCACAGAAATTGGGGAAAAGATAAAAAACTGAGTACCTTGATCCTGGGAAGAATCGCGACTTTGCTTAAATTTTCTCTTCTTATAAGCGACAGTGATGGCGGCAAGTCCTCCAAGAAGAATCGCACCTCCAAGAACTCCGCCAACAATCGCGTACATATTCGAATTCCTTGGCGTCTCCACTGGTTTTTGTTCATTCTCAACTTTAACTTGTTGAACGGGCACATCGGGAACCGGTAATTTCTTTGTTTTCTCTCTGAGAATTTTCGAGAATTCAGAAGCGGCGTCTGTCGAAAAACTCTGAACCTTAAATTCATACGTTGTATCCGATTGTAAATGTGAAATGACAATTCGCGTTGAATTCTTTCCTTCGACTGTTGTTTTGATATAATCGCCAGCCGTTGTTGATGCACGATGATAAACATAGAAACCATCGATATTTGCCGTACGATCGGGATTTTGCCAGAGAAGTAAAATTCGATGGGGACTCAATGATTCTGTATTGGTGAATAATGGTATTGGCATTTTATCGCTATTTATTGATGTACTGCGATTTAAATGGAAACGAACTGAATTCGGACTGAGTTTATTGTCATTATTTGAATAGACGGCGGCAATTCGAAAACGATATGTATGATTTGGTTGTAAATCGGAAACCTCAAAGGAACGAACGTGATTCGGTATTTCTGTATTTGCTGTCATCCATTTTGCTTGTTTTCCATTCATTCTTTGACCGAGTTCACGATATTGTACCTTGAAGAATTGAATTTCAAGTCCATTATTCTCTGGGACGGACCATCGTACCATTACCGAAGTGTCTGATAATCTTGTCACGTTTGGCTGTTCTGGCGGTACCAAAACGTCTGAAAATAAAGGTTAAATTATTTTTATATTCACTTTATAATTTGGAACTAAAAAAATATCAGACTTTTATAAAAATCGATTTTAATTTTACTCGATAATTAATTTTAAAAAAATAGCAAAAAGTAGTTTTAAGACAGAAAAAAATAGTAGTACAGAGTTGCCACAAAAAATTAATTTTGATTTTCCCTGATTTCCAGACAGAATTTTGACTTTTTCCCTGACCCTAAAGAATTTTCTGATTCACTCTAAAAATGATTAGATACTCAAAAAAATGTTCTATTACATTTATTTACGAATTTCTCTAATTGTAAAATTATTCGAAAACATCACTAACTTCATTTTAAAATAAATATTTAATCATTATTATTTTTCCATAGGAATTAAGATTTTTAAAAATTTAATATTTAAACCTATTGAAATTCAATTGCTTTTAAAAATATTATTATAAAACATAAAGATATCGATCACTCCGAGTCGAAGACAAAAATTTTAATAAAATCCTTCGGAAGAATTCGAATATTTTTAAAAGTAATACAGTTTTTCACATCAATTCAATTATTTAAAAAATGTAATAAAATTCGTTGTAAGAATTCAATTATTTTCATAAATAATAAAATTTTTCATATGGGATTTCAATTATTTTTAATACAATTTTAAATGAAATCCTCGAAAAATGTAATTATTTTCAAAAAATTTTTGCAAGAATTCAATTACATTTCACAAATAAAGAAATTCTTTGCTCAAATTAAAATATTTTCAAAATCTACTATTTTAATAAAATTTCTCAAAAGAATTCAATTATTTTTAAAAAATGTAATAAAATTCGTTGCAAGAATTCAATTATTTTCATAAATAAATAAAATTCCTCGGAGGAATTTAATTATTTAAAAGAAATGTAATGAAATTCGTTGCAAGAATTCAATTATTTTCATAAATAATAATATTCCTCACAGGATTTCAATTATTTTTCAAAAAAATTTCATAAAAATTCTTTGCGAGACTTTAATTATTTTCTGAATAATAAAATTCTTCGAAAGAAATAAATTAATTATCAATTATTTTTAATAATTTTTGCAGAAGTTCCTAGAGAATTTTCAAATCAATTTGTTTACAATTCAATTTTATGAAATTTTGATTATTTGAAAGTTCTTCAATTAAATATTTAGAAAATAAAAACTTAAAACAATTTAAAAAAAAATCCAATTAAACTTTTTCAAAATTCAATTATTTCTAAGAATTCATGCTATAATGATTTCATTTTTAATTATTAACTAAAATTTTAACTGAAATTAATTTTTAAATTAATTTTTATTAGAAAATTCTACGAGAATTCAATTATTGAAATTCAGAAATAAATAATTTATGGAGTAATTGAATGTTTCTGAAAATTAAATTCACATAAAGAATTCGGAAAAAAATTGTATTAAAAATAATTGAACTTCTATGAAGACTTTCATTATTCATGGAAATAATTGAACCTCTGTAAACATTTTTATTATTTATGAAAATAATTGAATTATTGCGAAGAAATTTATAAAAAAATTTTAAATAGTTGAATTCTTGTGAAACTTTTATTATTTATGAAAATAATTTCATATTTGCTTAGAATTTTATAAAAATTATTGAAAATAATTGAATTTTGAAGGAGAATTTTATTAATTTTAAAAACAATTGAAATTTTGATAAGAATTTAAAAATAATTTTGAACATAATTATTGAATTTCTTCAAACATTTGTAACTTCTCTAAAATTAAATTTTTTATGTGTTTAACTAAAAATCTTCTATAAATCAACAAATCTTTTAAAATTGAATTAATTTTGAAATATTCAAATAAAATTATTCATTAAATAATTTTGTAATAGTTCTTAAAGAAATAAGCGTTATTTAAAAATAAATTACTCTCAGAAATATAATAATCTTGTGAATTCTAAAAATTAAATTTTTTCCAGTACTTTTAATAAAACATCTAATATTCAATTATTATCTAAAAATTTTAACTGAAATTCAGTTTTAAATTAATTATTATTAGAAATTTCTTCGAGAAGTTATTTATTTAAATATCAAAATAAATAATTTATTGAAAATTGATTGAATAATGGAATATTTCTTAAAATTGAATTCTTATAACGAACTTTATCAGAACTTCTTAAAGTAATTGTATTCTTTCGAAGAATTTTATTAAATTTTTAAGAATAATTGTATGTTTCGAGGAAACTCATTCAAAATTCTATTAAAAATGAGAATGTAATAATTAAATTCTTGCGAAGAAATTTATAACAATTTGCTTAGCTAATTGATTTTGTTCGCAAAATTTTTTGAAAATTATTTTTTTAATAATTGAACACCTATGAAAACTTTATTATGCATTTATCGAAATAATTGAATTTCTGCGAAGAACTTTATTAAAATTATATTCAAAATAATTGAGTTAATCTAAAGTATTTTATTATTAATAAAAATAATATTGAATTTCAGCGAAGAATTTGATTATTTATGAGAATAATTGAATTCTTACAATTTTTTTAGATGAATTTAATTAAAATTTTATTGAAAATAATTGAATTTCTGCGAAGAATTTCATTAAAATTGTTCAAAATAATTGAAATCTTTCAAGAAATTTTATTCAAATTCCATTAAAAATAATTGATTTCTTACAATTTTTTAGATGAATTTAATTTAAATTTTACTGAAAATAATTGAATTTCTGCGAAGATTGCATTAAAATTGTTAAAAATAATTGAATTCCAGCGAAGATTAACAAAAAATCTTTTAAATAATTGATTTCATTTGGAAAAATTTAATGAAAATTGTATTTTAAATAATTGAATTCGTGTAACTTTTATTATTTATGAAAATAATTGAATGAAATTTATTATTTTTTTTTAATTCTTTGGGAAAATTTTATTAATGTAGTAGATTTCGAAAATAATTGAATCCTTTCTAAGAATTTTATTAAAATTTTTGACAATTTTTTTTTAACTTTTAGCGAATTAAAAATTTTGTAAGTAGTTGGTTTTATAATAGAATTATTATAAAACCTATTATAATTAGAATTTGAAAAAATATTGATAAAAAATGATTACCGGGTCCTTTGCGTTTGCCATCCTTTCCCCGTCTTCGTCCACCGATCCTCGTGTGTTTATGTGAAGAATTTGGAATTCCGTATTCATGTCTCGATTCAAGAGCTCCACCAACGTGCTGCTTGGGGGTGACTCTAAGAAAATTATAACCCGAATGCGATCCATATTCATTGCTTGCAACACACTGAACAATACCAGCGTGTTTCTTTTCCACCGAAGAAATCGAGAGTGTTGCGCCTCTTATTTCCACATTATTATTAACAGTGAGTGTTTCGCCATTAATCAACCACTCAATCGTTGGTTCTGGTTGTCCAGAAACAGAGCACGATAATTCCAATTCACCGCCCTCGGCAAATGTCAATCCCTTCGGTCCTTTCAACACTCTCGGCGGTTCAACGACAATTAAAATAATCATCAATTTCAATGGATATTTTCCATTATTCCAGGCACAATCGTATTCACCTTGATCGGACGGTTGAACGTTGGTTATCGTCAAACCCATTGCAGTTGATGTTGAACGTGAGGGTAATGGTTTTCCCAATTTCGACCATGTCACTTGAGGCACTGGATAACCGGCTCCAAAACATTCTAACGTTACATTTTTCCCCCTCAACACTTTATATTTAGTCTGCGGTTGTTTAATAAAATAGGAATTCTGCAATGTCTGCGTTGGTTCAACAGTGAGAATTGTATTATGATTACTGAGATACATTTGTCCTGATAAATAATTATTTGCTGTACAATGATATTTCCCAGAATCAGAGGGACGGGCATTTTCGATAATTAATGTTTTACCACTTGTTAATGTGGTATTTTTCACTGGTCTAAGGTCCTTAAAAAATAGAATATCTGGCTCGGGTGCGGAATATGGGAGCGGACATGTTATTGGCACAGTATTTCCAACAGGTACTTTTATTTCAACATCATTTTTATCAGAGAACTTGTCTATCGTTGCTAGTGTCAAACGAGCTGGATCCGATGCCAAACCACTCGTTCCTGAAAAATTAAATATTTCTTATTCTTATTCTTCTTTTTCAATAACCGGTCCCGCTTTCCTCAAGAAAAAAAAAATTACAATAATCTCTCAATAAATAAACGATTTAAATATAATAGAATTAAACTTTAATTTATAAATTACATTTAAAAAATTCTTTTTGAGATTAAAGCATTTTTTCCATTTCTTATTATTTAAACTAGCAAATAATACGCGCGCTAGTGCGCGGAACGTCCTATTCCATTTTTCATTATTATTAGGTATTATTATGCAAATCACAAAATTTTTTATTTACAAATATAAATTTTTGAATAATTTCATAACCAAAATTTTAAAAATTCACTTAAGTGCATAATTAATTATTATTGTTTATATTCTCACAAATTTTATAAGAATTTTTCGGAAGAATTCAATTATTTTCATAAATAATAACATTCTTCGAAAGAATTCAGCTATTTTTAAAACTAATAAAATTTTTTGCAAAAATTCAATTATTTTCAACAAAATTTTAATAGATCCTTCGAAACAATTCAAATATTTTTTAAAATAGTAAAATCTTTGCAAAAATTCAATTATTATCAATAAAATTTTTCAAAAGAATTCAATTATTTTCTAAAATTTTATTAAAATTCTTCCTAAATAATCAATTATTTTCAATACAATCTTAATTATATTTCTCCAAAGAATTTAAATTTTCATCCAAACAATTATATTATTTTTCAAAACTTTTAATAAAAATCTTTGCAAGATTTCAATTATTTTCATAAATAATAAAATTTTTCAAAGGATTTCAATTATTTTCAAAAATTTTAATAAAATTCTTCCTAAAAATTCAATTATCTTTATAAAAAGTAAAATTATTTGGAAGATTTCAATTATTTTCAAAAATTTTAATAAAATTCTTCCTACAAATTCAATTATGTTCATAAAAAATAAAATTCTTTGGAAAATGTCAATTATTTTCATTAATAATAAAATTCTTCGGAGGATTTCAATTATTTTCAAAAATTTGCAAACAAATTCTTATCAAAAGGATTTAATTATTTACAAAAACTCTAATAAAATTGTTTAAAAGAGTTAAATTTTCTATAAATAATTTTAATAGTAATCGATTATATTCAATAAATTATAGAATTTTTTAAAAAGAATTCAATTATTGTCAACACCTTTAATAGTATCTATTCTTCAAAAGAATTTAATTATTTTCTACTTTTAATATTCCTTAAATGAATTAAATTATTTTAGAAAAATTGTAACAAATACTGAGAAGAATTAAATTATTTTCGAAAATTTTTAATAATATTCAATAATGAAATGTTTAATTTCAATTATTAAGAAACACAATTATTTTAAAAACTTGAAAGAAATTGTTCATAAAATTCAATTACTTTTAAAATTTTCAATTAAAATTATTAAAGAAATTCCATTATTTTAAAAAAATTCAAAAAATTATTCAAAAGAATTTAATTAGGATTTTTTAAAAATTTTAATTGAATTTTTCGGAAGAATTTCATTATTTTTATAAATAATATATAAAATTCTGCGAAGGAATTTAATTATTCACAAATTTTTTTTATAAAATTCTTTGTAAGAATTCAATATTATTATTTATTATTTTTATAAATAATAAAATTCTGCGAAGGAATTTAATTATTCGCAAATTTTTTGATAAAATTCTTTGTAAGATTTCAATGATTTTTAATACATTCATTTTAAAATTGAAAATATTTGAAAGGAAGAATTATTAAAAATGTTAGGAAACAAAATAGCAAACAACTAACTTCAAACTGCGAACAAATTATCAAAACACAACGATTATTAATATAAATTATTAATTTAAATCTAAAAAAATATTTTTAAATCATTGATTTTTTCTACAAGAAAATAATTTCTTTTTTCAAGAATTTACGAACAAAAATTAAAGTTACCAAAGGATAATGATTTCTTGAAAAAAGGAATTAAGACGAAGTTGAGGAAAATGTTTAAATTTATAATTGGAAAAGAATTTTAAGGAGACAAACTAACCGTAAAAGGCGATGCATCGATAGTCGCCGGCTTTTGATTTATGATCAAAATTCACAGTAAGTATGGAAGCTTTGCCACTGCTATTTGCAGCCTGATTAAACGGCTCCCATTTATTAGAACCTAATGGCCTGTGACGCCATACAAATTTCTCTGGTGCTAGATTGAGATTACACTCAAGAAATACATCATCGCCAAGAGGAGCTATAAAGGGTTGAGGATGTCGAATAAAGGTCATTCCTAATTCCTGCTTTTGTCCTGCAAAACATTCACATAAATTTTACTATTTTATTACCTTCATAATAATTTTACAAACAAAGGAAGCAAATTATTTTTCTATACAGTAATTAAAAAATCTGTAATGTAATTAATTCCTTCATTTTTTCAGTAGAAAAAGAAAAATCTTACCAGATGCGCAGCATCGTAGAACAAAGAGGAAGACTGTGATGAAGCCGGAAAGGGAAGGCACAGGTCGCATCTTGACACATTCTGAAATCAAGGAAGAGAATTTAAAGTCACGTTTTACGATCGGTTTGATGTTTATTTCTTTTTATTTTTCTTTCTCATCATTTTCTTCATTCTGTCCTCATTGGCAAGACAAGTGTTTCAGCACTTGCGAGCGAGAGTAACTAAAATAAATTGCCAACAAGCGAGTTTAAGTTTAGAACGATGAGTTCGTGTGAAAATAGAACAGATTCTTGCATTCCTTAGATAATTTGAACACCATTGTTAATTAATGGTCAATTAAAAAAATATTTTTTTTTTTTTGTAAAATACATACAATATTAAACCCCTGGAGAAAGTATATTTCAATCACAGCCGGATTGCAATTCATTTCAAATTCTTTTATTTTCTTTCATTATCCTTTCCACCTACGCACATTAATAGTTTAACTCGGAAATCTCTTTTGATCTCTAGGATTGCTATAGGGTGCCAGAAAATTATTGGTGTTTATTTTAGCTCTTCTCTTTATCATTCTTTCAACGGACTTTTGAATTTTGATGCTTCTTTTTTACGATGTCATTCAACGAAATTCACAATTTTTTTTTTGACAGACAAACAAAAAAAAATTAATGAATTTCTTTAAAATCTCTTTAACTTGATATTATATTAGGATGGACAGGCATCACAGTGTTTTTTTTTCCTCAAAAAAGGTGAAAAGGGGAATTTTTTTCCTCTTCCCCTAAAATTATTTTTTTTTTCCATCTAAAAATTATTAGATACTCAAAAAAATGTTCTTACATTTATTTACGAATTTCTCTAATTGTAAAATTATTCGAAAACATCACTAACTTCATTTTTAAATAAATATTCAATCATTATTATTTTTCCACAGGAATTAAGATTTTCAGAACATTCAAATTCAAATCTTTTTGAAATTCAATAATTTATAAAAATATTTATTATAAAACATGAAGAAATCGATGACTCCGAGTCTTCGACTCGGAGCAATCGATTTCTTCATATTTTATAATAATTAAAGATGACAGAGTGATAAAATAATTATTTTATTTTATAAGAATATTGTTACTGTAGGTAACTTCTTCAAAATTATTTTCATCATTTCAATTCAATTATTATTTTTTGCAATTTTTAACTAAAATCCCTTTTTAATTAAATCAATTATTTACGATAATTTAAAAAAAAATTCTGAAAATTTTCAAATGTATTTGTTTACAATTTAATTTTACGAAATTGCATCGATTATTTGGAAATTCTTCAATTAAATATATAGTTAAAAATAAAAACTTTGACTAATTTCAATTAAACTTTTTGAAAAAAATTCTAAAGATTTGTTAGGTAGTTAAAAATATTAAAAATTCAGATTTTCAAAGATTTCAATTTGAAACATTTTTAAAATTAATTTACTTCTAAAAATTCACGTTATAATTCTATTAATATTAAATTCTCATAAAGAATGATATCAACAAATTTTTAAATAAATTAATTCTTTCGACAAATTTAAATAAAATTTTTCAAAACAATAACATTTTTCGGGGTATTCGATTAAAATTGTAGTAAATATAATTGAAATTCTTCGATGAGTTTGATTATTAATGAAAATAATGAAATTATTGCGAAGAAATTTATAAAAAATTTGTAAATAATAGAATTTCTGTGAAATTATTTTATTATTTATGAAAAATAATTCAACGTTTGCGTAGAATTTGAATAAAATTTTTTTAAAATAATTTAATTCTTTTGGAAAATTTTATTAAAATAGTAGATATTCAATATCATGGAATTTAGGAAAATTTTTGCAAATAATTGAAATTTTGCCAAGAATTTTATTAAAAGTTTTGAAAATATTTGAATTTCGAAGAAGAAATTATTTATAATTTGTTCTTATTAATGTTTATATTTTTACAAATTTTAATATAATTCTTCGGAAGAATTCAATTATTTTCATAAATATTAACATTCTTCGGAAGAACTCAATTATTTTTAAAACTATAATAAAAGGTTTTGCCAAAATTCAATTATTTTTAACCAAATTTTAATAATTCCTTTGAAGCAATTTAATTATTTTTTAAAATAGCAAAATTTTTGCAAAGAATTCAGTTATTATCAATAAAATTCTTCCTAAAAATTCAATTATTTTCAATACAATCTTAATTATATTTCTCCAAAGAATTTAAATTTCCATCCAAACAATTATATTATTTTTCAAAACTTTTAATAAAAATCTTTGCAAGATTTCAATTATTTTTATAAATAATAAAATTTTTCCAAAGGTTTTCAATTAAATTATCTTCATAAAAAGGAAAATTCTTTTGAAGATTTCAATTATTTTCAAAAATTTTAATAAAATTTTTCCTAAAAATTCAATTATGTTCATAAAAAATAAAATTCTTTTTAAAGATTTCAATTATTTTCTTGAATAATAAAATACTTCGCAGAATTTCAATTATTTTTAAAAATTTTAATTATCTCGATAAAAAATAAAATTCTTTTGAAGATTTCAATTATTTTCTTAAATAATAAAATTTTTCGGAGAATTTCAACTATTTTCAAAAATTTTAATAAATTTCTTCGTAAGAATTAAATTATCTTCATAAAAAATAAAATTCTTTGGAAAATGTCAATTATTTTCATTAATAATAAAATTCTTCGGAGGATTTCAATTATTTTCAAAAATTTGCAACAAATTCTTATCAAGAATTCATTTTTTTTCATAAATAATTGAATTCTTTAGAGAGTTTCAACGTCGGTGAAGTTTGCAACGTTTATGATCAACGATTGAAAGGAAAAAATTATTTTTTCACCAAAATGAATAAAATTTTTTGTTTACAAATATTTCTTTTTGTAAATTATTATTCAAAAAACTAACCAAAATATTTTCTATAGAAAAATGAATTAAAATTTGTTTCAAAAAATATTATTCCTTTTAAATCGTTGATTAAAAACGTTGTAAACTTCACCAACGTGAGTTTCAATTATTTAAAAAAAATTGAAACAAATTTTTGTCAAGAAATCCTTTCGAAAAAAAATTCCTTGCAGAATTCAATTATTTTCTGAAAATAATAAAATTTTTCGGAGGATTACAATTATTTTCAAAAATTTTAATAAAATTCTTCTTAAAAAGTCAATTATCTTAAAAGAAAATTAAACTCTTTTGAAGATTTCAATTATTCTCTTAAATAATAAAATTCTTCTTATAGGGTTACAATTATTTTAAAAAACGCACAAAAAAATTCATCATAAAAAGTAAAATTCTTTTGATGATTTGAATTATTTTCAAAAATTTAAATAAAATTCTTTACGATATCTATATTATTTTAATCATTAACATAAAAAACATTTATATTATGTTGTGGTGTTAATAATCTAAATCAAAAATAAAACTCACTGAATTATATAACATTGAGTCTAAATTCATGATTAGACTTTGAAAAATATTTTAAAAATAGAAAAACTTGTTTATCTTTGATTAGAAAAAGGTGAAAAAGAGGAAAAATCAGCATAAAAGGGGAAAAAGGTGCCAAATCTTCAAAAAAGGTGAAAAAATTGAAATCAGGGAACAAAAGGAGACCAACTGTGATGTCTAGATAGAGAAAATACTTCAAAAACAAAAAAAAAAAAGATTTGATTAGATTTTTTGGACCAAGAACAATATCCGTAAAAGAAGAAAATAATTTAAATAACGTGAAAATTGTAAAGAAAATTTAAAATACTGTAAAAATATCCTAATACGGTAACGAAAAGTAATTTTTATTCAGCTAAGCGCACCGATTACACCCACACGTGAACGTCGAGAAGAAACAAAAACTATTCTAGCAAGGACTCTGAGGAAATTATTTATTGACTAACATCATGAGCGTAGGTAGGTTCATTCATAGATATAACGCTCATACCTACGCAACCAAAAGAGATGTGAATTTTTTTCCCCTCACTTTTTTTTCTTACCAGGGGAAGTAAAAAAATTTTTATACCGTAAAAAAATATCCATAATCACGTTCAACCTTTTCGCACCATAAATAAATAATTCCACATCACAATGTGATCGATAATTGAATTCATTTAGCATTGAATTATTAATTTGAAAATAATTACCAACTAGAATATTTCTTTCTCAACCAAACAGAGAAGAGCAAAAGAGAAGTGAATTTAAATACAAAAAAAATCGCATTAATTAAATATTCAATTTCAAAGCAAGGAAAAAAACAAATTTTCAAGTGTCGACAAAACGAAATAATGGATTTCGGTTGGGTGACAAGTGTTTGATCTTGTCGTAAAAATTAATATTCGTAAATTTTCGTAGCGCCCGAAGGATTATATATATATGTATATATTTGAGATTGGTATAAAAGTCCGATGACAAGAGTAACAGGTGAGAAGAAGCAAAGGGAGGCTGTGTGCGGATTCTGATCGTCTCCCTCTCTGTCACTCATAAAAATAAAGAAGTCGAATTCCAAAGCAGCGGTTGTCAACCTTATTCCTTTTTTCCCCCCCATGGATCTTCCTCCCACAAAGAAATTGCAGATTAAATCGACTACACTCGTTTCGTTCTCGTGGCTACCTTTGGGTCCGGATTTTATACACGATCAATTCTCAAAGAAAACTAGAACGAGCTCTCTTATAACACGAAGCGAACTACCTGATTGTATACCTGTGAGAGGACATCCCAAAGCGACAAAAAAAAAAATTACAAAGCTATATTTCCCAATTTTTACAAAAATTCATTCTATTGGTAATAATAATAATAATCCATTCTACTGTTAATAATAATCCATTATACTGTTAATAATAATTCATTCGACTGTTAATAATAATTCATTTTACTCATAATAATAATAATTCAATCTATTGTCAATAATCACAAAAAAAAATTTTTTTTTCCCACATATATAGAATTTATTCGAAAAAAAGAATCTTAACCTTTCACTTTGATTCCAAATTTTTGCATGCAACTCGGAAATATCACTTGTAATATGTATATGACATAATTTTATAACTCGTTCAAAATGGGTGTTGCCTTGTTTGTACAC